AACAGAAATTTGTGAGATTTAAAATTAATTTTATTAACAGACTACAGAACATAAATATTATTTTAGATGAAAAATTTTTATTAATTCTTCTCGAGCAAATATTTATTTTGATTTTAAAATATTTTATTGATGACTTTTGGAATGTTTTAAAAGAAATATCAACCTATCAAACTCTATCTACTTTAAAATGTAGAGAAAATTTTTAAAAATCGAAAAAGAAATAGTGGTGAATAATTAGGATAATCAAAATTAGATTACGGAACTTTAAAGATGAATCTATTTTCAAATCGCTTAATCTTTCTACTGAAAAAAACAAGAAAAAAAAGGAAAAAACCCACTCATCTCGGCATAACTTTGAATAAATTTTGAGAATACAATAAAAAATGTTTTAAGTTGTCTATAAAACTTTCTGTATAAATTTTTAATGCAGCAATATTGAAAAATTTTGAAATATTTGAAATTTGAATATTTCAATAGTTTTGAAATATTTAAATTTCAATATATGCCAAACGAATTATATAATGCCAAAAAAACTTAACTTTGGAATTTCATAATTAATTTCATACATTTATTTAAAATTTTATGTTAACAGAATATTTTTAATTTTACATCAGTATAATTTTGCATAATTAAAATTATTTGTAATTTTTATTTCTTTTTTAAATGTAATAAATTATATTTAATAGATTATTTTTTTTCTTAATGTAATTAATTGTAAATGTATCAATTTTTATTTTCTTTTGTACACTTGTATTTTTTTTTTTTTTTTTAAATTTAGGACCTATATTATTGAATTTCGAATATAAGCGTATTTGTTAAAGGTGTTAAAGATCGCTCGAAAAATCTAAAATAATATGTAATGGTAGCTTTACAAATAGTGTGATATAAGCGATTATATTTTATTAAAAGAAAACGCCGTATAAGATGCATAACAATCAAAATTTAGATCATTTAAACAACAATTCTTTCGGGGTAATAGTATTTTTAAATGAGCGACTTTTTGAGCGATAAAAAAATTGAAGAGGGTTCGTTTCATAGCCATTACTATCTTCCGATGTTATTCGTTACTTACTACTTTATGAAATATAAGGTTTACAATTGTATACTTTCTCCTGAAACTTTGGATAATTCTACAAACTGGTCAATACTGACTGAGGAATGTTAGGCCTACTTTAATATCGTTTCGACATGTAGAGAGCAATACGGTTATTCGGGTACAAGACTCTCGGTTATCCGGGATAAACTAGAAAAATGTCATTCCAATTGATAAAAATTCTGATCAATCGGTATCCTGTAAACAGAACATAAATTTTCAAAGACGTATCTCACATAGTTACTGGAAATAAACTGGACACTTAAGCAAAGTATATAATTCTCTTTCTCCTTATGACCAATATCCTATAAAGTTGACGAGTCATAAAGCGATTTGTGATGATAATGACTGATCTACAGGCATTTTCTTCATCCCGGTTAATCCTTTTCTCGGTAAATGCGATTCCGGATAAGTGAGAATCTATTTTAATTGGAGAACATATTGAACATTGTAATTTATGTTAAGCTTTTTACATTTACGAATATAACTAAAACAATGTACATTTTATTTTAAATAAAAATATATAAAAATAATTTATTTTTTAAGCAAAATAGAGCACTTATAATTTTTTTATTTATAACACATCTCTAGGAACTTACAATATTTTTTAAAATATTTTAATTTGTGTTTTTCATTTAATATGAAAATTTTCTTTTCTTTCGTTTCTAAATTATTTTTATATTATTTTAAGACGATAATTAAACCAATGTCGTTGACAATTTTTATATAGTTTTTCCATGTTTGACAAATATATTATCCAGCAATAACAGATACAAGTGAGTGGTTCAATTAATACCCGAGAGACAGCTAAACATACAGTTCATCAATATTTTAGGAGCATCAGCATCATCATCACCATTACTGCAATGAACAAAAAATGGGCATGACACTGCTTATACAGAAGGGCGTATTTTATGCTTCTCATATTACTAACAACCAATTTTTGTAAATTAGTTACATTATTAATCATTATTATTTCCCAAATTCAATTTATCTAAGTCGAATGAGAATAAAATTCAATTTTTAATGTATTCTAACAACACTAAAAAATATAAAATAAAAATAAATAAGATCATTTATTTATTTTAAAATAATTTAATTTCAAACACATCTTTGCCAAATTTATTGGAAATAAATTTAGAAGAGAATAAGTCATTTTATTTATTAATTTTTCTTCTTATTAAATTCACCTTTTCAATTTATTCCCTTTCATTTGTCCAGTTAATACCTTTAAGCCAATAGAGGGACACTCCAAACAAATCTCATTACATGGTTAGGAGGTCAAATACAGATAAAAAGCGTGAAAACAGATACATTTTCTAATCAAAAATACTCTTATAAATATATCGATTTTGGCTGAACTAAAGAAATAGCATATTATAATATCATTTACATATAAATTTTTAATACAACATTAAAGTAATATGTTGTTTACGTGTGAATTATATGTTACTTATTTGAAATATAAATTGATAGTTTAAAAAAAAAAATTACATCTGCTGTTAAGAGGAAAAATATAATGAAGTTTACGAGTAAAAAAAAAAATTTAAAAATTATAATAATTTTTTCGCGTTTTCTTCCTCGTATTCTGCGAATTTAAAACGTTCTTAAAAAATTATTACTGCAGACATTAACATAACTGTATTAAAATTTATTATATACTATAAAAACAGGATATGATTATACATTATATTTAACAGCTAGCGCCATCTGATTTTCCATTTCTTCATTAAATTATTTACATATCTTACTTTAAATCTTATTTTATGAAAATGATTTATATATTATATATATAATGATTTCTCGATAACATTACATTAATTGCAGTTACTTGTTTATAGATGAAGACAGTTAATTAAAAGTAAACTCGGATGTAGGTTAATACAAAGAGGATTTGTCATTCCACAGGCTATTCTGTCCTTAAATAAAAAGAAAAGGAAAAAAAAAATTCTTTCCTCCATTTATCAATCACAACATACCTCGGATTGTCCAAATGGCTGGATAACAGGAAACGAATCCCTTTTTCTTAAATAAAAGCTGAACGAAATAAACTTTCTTTCCTAACATCACTTTATTTTTTCTTAAACACTAATCTTAAGTTAACAAGAATCTTTCTATTAAGATTACCCTACTTAAGCAGTAAGCATTACTTTCTGCTCATTATTTATTATGCCACTAAGTTACTATTATGGAACTAATCTAATTCTCAACATTTAATGAACATTATTATAATAAAGAATTGACTTTACAACAGTTTTTCTAATCATAAAAATAAAATGATTTTTACATATTATCGAGCACGAAATACGATTCTGAGAGGATTTTTTTCATTAAATCTAAATTTTATAGATACATATAAAAATCATTGATACTTTCTACGTAAAGTGCGATGATGTTTTATACATCTCAAACAGTTCTAATGCCTATTACGGATCTTTATATGTAAAATTATTCATAATAATAATAATAATAATAATAATAATATATAACTAAAAAATGTAATAAAGAAGCAATTCACGCCTTATATGTTAAATAATGCTGCCATCTGTTGACAAAAAATATTACTTAAAAATAATAAATCTATCGAATATTGCGTTGAATATTAATTTGCGTGCTTATTGAGTATAATAATAATAATTTACATTGCATTAAAAAAAATATGCTTAATAGCGTGTTACAACATAAGCAGACAAGTATGATTCGATTTTTATGTACTTTTCTACATACTGCCATCTATTATCACATTATCCAGCTTTAATTTCGCTTAATTTAATTTGTTTTAATTTTTTAATATAATAATCACTCCATCGTAAACGTAATATATAAAGTAATAATAATTATAATAATAACATTAATCGATTCGTTTCGTGATGCAAATGTATAGAAAGCGTAGAGTAGTTTGAAAATTTTTTATTGTATCGGATAAAATATAAATAAAAATGTACAAAATAAACAAAAAACAGTTGGAAAATAGTAAAAGCACGCGGTGTTAAGCTAATGCAAAACGCATCTGGCAGGGGTGGGATTCGAACCCACGCCTCAATGAGACTGGTGCCTAAAACCAGCGCCTTAGACCGCTCGGCCACCCTACCACATGTTCAGGCATTTTACTATGCAGTTGACAATTGATTTTGTTCAAACAAATTTTTTTTATTTATTTTTTTATTATGCTTTATCACGAAAGATAACGAGGTAATCAGTACAAAATGCGACCTTTACATAGCAGATACGACTAACATATAATTTACACTTTACAATATAAAAAACACCTGAAAATCACTTTTTTTTATTATTCATAGTAAATATACCTATCCAAATTAAATAATTTATAAATACAAAAATTCATCATTTTATAATAAATTAGTTTTAATTTTTATATTTATATTTAATTATATTTTTAAATTAAATAATATTTCTATACAGTTCATATTGTATAAATTATATACTTATTTATTTATTTGTCTATCTAAATATATATGTATGTTATAATATATTTATTAATGAAAATCAAATGCCGTGTTCCTGAATTTAGTTTATAAATTTGTCAACAGATGGAGGAAGAGTATTAATAAAAGCAAATAACTGGTATTTGTACACGTGTACGATGTTGAATTTTTGTACGTAACTAAGTTGTGATACACGCGCAAGTAGAAAATTGTGTAAAATTACAGAAAATGTAGGGAATATTTATTTTAATTGAAAAAATTAATTAATTACAGAAATTAATTATTTTTAATTAATTAGAATTTTCTTTAATTAATTTATATGATATTTCAAGGAAAAATTTGTAACTTTAAAACGTATTATTAACTAATAGAAGCAAGTTTATGTTTGTTAAATTGTAGCGCTCAGAACGGAGTCACCGTTAAAACGGTAGCATTTATATAGAGCACCCAGAACCGTGGGAGGTGAGATGCCGAGGTTGAGTCACTGGCAGTGGACAGCCGGGAGACATGGAGACGAGAGCTGGAGACAGCAGGCTGTCTCCCAAACAATGGAACCTGTCACAGAGAAGATGGAGACCAGTTTAGTTATCCTACCAACATATTAACCAAGGTGAGTGGACATAGGTCCTTTCTACTCGACTTCTTACCACTGATTGTACCCAGTACACGACAATACAAACCTCAGCACGGATCTATAAAGGCTGATTTTTCTCTGACGTAGCCGAGGGATACACAGTGCAAACACAGCACACCACCCATCCACGATACATTACCATCGGAAAATCTCGTTTATGTATGCAAAAATTATAACTTCTTTGGTCTATTTCGCCTATTACGATATGTTCTCGCTTATATGTTATGAAACTTATGTGTAATACGTGTGTGGGTAGTCGATAGTTATTTTATCACTATAAGCTTGAATTATTCGTGGATTTGGGATGCTGGCATACGAATCTATAAGCGTGTCTGGCTGAACAAAGAGAACAATGTTCATCTGGAGAACACGTCATCGATAGTGGGGAATCATCTCAGGACAATGTCCTGGAATTTATTCATCCTAAAACATTATTATGCTTATTATTTATTCCTTATACATTTCATAACTGGATTATTAAGTACTTATTTATAAAGGGTAAATTTATATTTTATTTAATTCTATAAGCATTATTTTTAATAATTTAATTTTAACGATATTAAATGTTATTTTATAATTTAAAATAATTTATAGAAGATAATTAATTGGAATTTTTTTTATCGTATTATATTGCAATTTTAATATTGATATCTTAATAAGATTTTTACATAGAATCATAAGTTAGTTTACGTTTTTCCATTTAAAAAAAAATTAAAAATTGAGCAAATTAAATGTTATATTTAATTTTTTAATTTAATTCCGTTCAAATTAAATATTTTGGCTTTATAATGTATAAAACTAAAATCTATTGGTGGTAATTTTATTTTGTCTTTTCTGGTTATGTAATTGAATTTAATTGATGAAAATTAATTATAAATATTAAGTGTTAGTTTGAAATTTGAGTAGCTTTAAAAACGAACATATTTAATCATTGATATAAATTAAAATTAGGCTATAGAAGATATCGAAAAGTTGATCTTGAATCCTCAAATGTTATAATTTAATTGTTAAGTTTAATGAAAACTCATATCCTCTTTCAGGTGATGGCTTTGTCACCATGGCGACGGTCACTTCTATTCGATATCGGGGAGGTGGAAGAGAGTAACACAACAGACGAAACCAACTCTTCTCTGTTCGCCAACTTTACCATTAATTTCGCTCCAGACAACAATGTGCCGTTTAACAGTACCATCGATATTAAGGCATCACCTTGTCTCACCTGGCAACAACCACAACACGTCCTTTTCCAATTAGCTAATATTTTCTTTTGTATTTCCTATCTGGCACCCAATGGAACTTATGGTATCCTATTTATGCATGGACTTTTGATTATAGGTAAGATATAAAAACCCTTTATTAAAATTATAACAAAAGTACCTGCGTTTTCAAACACCTGTCTGTAGTTTGAAAGTGAGTCAGCTATAACAGGTGTGTCGGGTAATGCACATCCAGGTGTTTGTAGTGGGTCAATGACTCCTAACTGATATCATATAATGTATGTATAGTATCTATGGAAACAGGTACGTATTTTATTAGTGTTCTATCGATTTTATATCTATGCTTACTACTGGTGTGAATGCATTATTTGTACGGTATCATTATCTTAACGTGGAAGTAAATAGAAATTTAAAAATTTTACAGGTAATTAAGTTAGTCCCTATGTACTGTACCTGGTTAAATTATAATAATATAAAACGAATTTGTATAAAATTACTTATATATATAATATAGCTATAAGTACAAAGCTATTTTAATAAAATAGAAATATTATAAGCTTGTCGCCTAACTATATAAGATATATGCTTTTAATTTTCAGGTTTTTTGGTATTTTCAACGTGGGCCTGGAACATTATTTGTGCACCCGACGTCTTTATATGGAACTTTTGTTTTATGTTACTAAATATGGGACAGGCTTTGTATCTCCTTTACACTTTACGACAGATTAAACTACCCCCCGAGTTAGAGGATGTTTATCTAACTATGTTTCAGCCTCTTCAAGTAAGAATATTTCACTACTAATTTAATATGATAATATAAAACAGTTTATTTTTATTGGATTTTAACACTTTTCTTTCATGAAAAACTATTAAAAAATTATAAATCATAAAAAATTAAAACTGAAATGTAAATTCTGTCACCTATAGTAACTACTAAGCGATACAAATACCAATCTCGAGTACTAAGAACTACGTCGATAAAGATATGATTTTTAACTAAAATTATCATATTTATAATCGAAAAAACGAATAAAATATTCGTAATAAATGCAGAAATTATATATTTTAAATATTTTTAGAATTTTTTAATGATATTAACGTTTGAATATCCAATTTATATTCAGAACACGATCGTGACAATAAATCATTACTTGACATAAATTTCTGACTTAACTTTTCTTTAGTTTATTGGAAATAATTTATAATTTATAAGTTAGATATATAATATTTTCTTTATAATAATATTACGTAGTTTTATGCATTAATTATTACTAAAACCATAAAAGTTTCTAGAACATAATCAAAATGACATTAAACTAGATATTAAGCATTGGATTAAAGTAGGAATTTAATTACTTCACGTATATGAATTAAACTTACTTATATATATATATAACTTTTATTTTAATATTTCAATTTAATTTTTAGGTATCCCGTTTGCTGTTTAAGAAATTAGTCAGTTTAGAATACGGACAAGTTTTATCACTTCATGCTGGAGAAGCTTACGCTATGCAAAATCTTACCAGAACGGATCGACTTGGATTATTGTTATCAGGAAAGTAAGCTAATAAAATTATAACATTTTAAATACTTTTTAAACAATACTTTTAAAAGTTTTTTCTAATGTAAATTTTAATATATTTTTTTATCTTTTTCGATATGTATATCGGTACGTAATGTTATTGTACAAATGAAAAAACATGATATTGGAAGAGAGCCAAATAAAACTAAATTCCTAACAACCGTAATTTACGACATTTTGGCATTTCCTATATATTAAATATTCGATAAACATATACGGTTATTTTCAATCTGAAATATGCTTTTATATGTGTATGTATATATAGGAAAATTTTACTGATATTACACAGTATTTGATCTAATAAAATTGCATTCATTTCGGTTGATGTATATTAATGATAGAGTTTGTTGTTATTTAAGTAAAATAGAAAAATTTCGATATAAGAAAAACTTCCAAGGTCTCTTTTTTAAGAATGCTTTTTAACTTAATTTGTTTCCCATTGAGAAAATTGAACAAAAATGCGACGTCTGCAACTATAAAATTTCAAAAGTAAAACAGCGGTTTGTACATCACAAAACATAAAAAATAAAGATAAGAACAGTTGTAAAGTAATAGCGATAGGGTAAGTGTTGGAAAACATCCAGATCATTCTGTTGTCTTTATGGAAGATAATTCTTAAAAGAACAACATGCGCTATTACAGGAATGCCAAAATAACTTTATTTTTAAAAATATCCATCTTAACTAAACAACATTTAAGAGAATAAACAGAAATTATCAATACACCGAAACGAATAAATCAATACGTTTATATTCTAAATGATGTGTAAACATATTTATCATCTTAACAAATTTTATTGGTTATTTCAGAGTTAATGTCATAACGGATCATCACTTTTTACATCATATTCATCCAAAAGAATTTTTAGATTCACCAGAATTTGAGTCGAGTAAATCAGGAGGAGATGATAAGCATTATTTTTAATAATTTAATTTTAACGATATTAAATGTTATTTTATAATTTAAAATAATTTATAGAAGATAATTAATTGGAATTTTTTTTATCGTATTATATTGCAATTTTAATATTGATATCTTAATAAGATTTTTACATAGAATCATAAGTTAGTTTACGTTTTTCCATTTAAAAAAAAATTAAAAATTGAGCAAATTAAATGTTATATTTAATTTTTTAATTTAATTCCGTTCAAATTAAATATTTTGGCTTTATAATGTATAAAACTAAAATCTATTGGTGGTAATTTTATTTTGTCTTTTCTGGTTATGTAATTGAATTTAATTGATGAAAATTAATTATAAATATTAAGTGTTAGTTTGAAATTTGAGTAGCTTTAAAAACGAACATATTTAATCATTGATATAAATTAAAATTAGGGTATAGAAGATATCGAAAAGTTGATCTTGAATCCTCAAATGTTATAATTTAATTGTTAAGTTTAATGAAAACTCATATCCTCTTTCAGGTGATGGCTTTGTCACCATGGCGACGGTCACTTCTATTCGATATCGGGGAGGTGGAAGAGAGTAACACAACAGACGAAACCAACTCTTCTCTGTTCGCCAACTTTACCATTAATTTCGCTCCAGACAACAATGTGCCGTTTAACAGTACCATCGATATTAAGGCATCACCTTGTCTCACCTGGCAACAACCACAACACGTCCTTTTCCAATTAGCTAATATTTTCTTTTGTATTTCCTATCTGGCACCCAATGGAACTTATGGTATCCTATTTATGCATGGACTTTTGATTATAGGTAAGATATAAAAACCCTTTATTAAAATTATAACAAAAGTACCTGCGTTTTCAAACACCTGTCTGTAGTTTGAAAGTGAGTCAGCTATAACAGGTGTGTCGGGTAATGCACATCCAGGTGTTTGTAGTGGGTCAATGACTCCTAACTGATATCATATAATGTATGTATAGTATCTATGGAAACAGGTACGTATTTTATTAGTGTTCTATCGATTTTATATCTATGCTTACTACTGGTGTGAATGCATTATTTGTACGGTATCATTATCTTAACGTGGAAGTAAATAGAAATTTAAAAATTTTACAGGTAATTAAGTTAGTCCCTATGTACTGTACCTGGTTAAATTATAATAATATAAAACGAATTTGTATAAAATTACTTATATATATAATATAGCTATAAGTACAAAGCTATTTTAATAAAATAGAAATATTATAAGCTTGTCGCCTAACTATATAAGATATATGCTTTTAATTTTCAGGTTTTTTGGTATTTTCAACGTGGGCCTGGAACATTATTTGTGCACCCGACGTCTTTATATGGAACTTTTGTTTTATGTTACTAAATATGGGACAGGCTTTGTATCTCCTTTACACTTTACGACAGATTAAACTACCCCCCGAGTTAGAGGATGTTTATCTAACTATGTTTCAGCCTCTTCAAGTAAGAATATTTCACTACTAATTTAATATGATAATATAAAACAGTTTATTTTTATTGGATTTTAACACTTTTCTTTCATGAAAAACTATTAAAAAATTATAAATCATAAAAAATTAAAACTGAAATGTAAATTCTGTCACCTATAGTAACTACTAAGCGATACAAATACCAATCTCGAGTACTAAGAACTACGTCGATAAAGATATGATTTTTAACTAAAATTATCATATTTATAATCGAAAAAACGAATAAAATATTCGTAATAAATGCAGAAATTATATATTTTAAATATTTTTAGAATTTTTTAATGATATTAACGTTTGAATATCCAATTTATATTCAGAACACGATCGTGACAATAAATCATTACTTGACATAAATTTCTGACTTAACTTTTCTTTAGTTTATTGGAAATAATTTATAATTTATAAGTTAGATATATAATATTTTCTTTATAATAATATTACGTAGTTTTATGCATTAATTATTACTAAAACCATAAAAGTTTCTAGAACATAATCAAAATGACATTAAACTAGATATTAAGCATTGGATTAAAGTAGGAATTTAATTACTTCACGTATATGAATTAAACTTACTTATATATATATATAACTTTTATTTTAATATTTCAATTTAATTTTTAGGTATCCCGTTTGCTGTTTAAGAAATTAGTCAGTTTAGAATACGGACAAGTTTTATCACTTCATGCTGGAGAAGCTTACGCTATGCAAAATCTTACCAGAACGGATCGACTTGGATTATTGTTATCAGGAAAGTAAGCTAATAAAATTATAACATTTTAAATACTTTTTAAACAATACTTTTAAAAGTTTTTTCTAATGTAAATTTTAATATATTTTTTTATCTTTTTCGATATGTATATCGGTACGTAATGTTATTGTACAAATGAAAAAACATGATATTGGAAGAGAGCCAAATAAAACTAAATTCCTAACAACCGTAATTTACGACATTTTGGCATTTCCTATATATTAAATATTCGATAAACATATACGGTTATTTTCAATCTGAAATATGCTTTTATATGTGTATGTATATATAGGAAAATTTTACTGATATTACACAGTATTTGATCTAATAAAATTGCATTCATTTCGGTTGATGTATATTAATGATAGAGTTTGTTGTTATTTAAGTAAAATAGAAAAATTTCGATATAAGAAAAACTTCCAAGGTCTCTTTTTTAAGAATGCTTTTTAACTTAATTTGTTTCCCATTGAGAAAATTGAACAAAAATGCGACGTCTGCAACTATAAAATTTCAAAAGTAAAACAGCGGTTTGTACATCACAAAACATAAAAAATAAAGATAAGAACAGTTGTAAAGTAATAGCGATAGGGTAAGTGTTGGAAAACATCCAGATCATTCTGTTGTCTTTATGGAAGATAATTCTTAAAAGAACAACATGCGCTATTACAGGAATGCCAAAATAACTTTATTTTTAAAAATATCCATCTTAACTAAACAACATTTAAGAGAATAAACAGAAATTATCAATACACCGAAACGAATAAATCAATACGTTTATATTCTAAATGATGTGTAAACATATTTATCATCTTAACAAATTTTATTGGTTATTTCAGAGTTAATGTCATAACGGATCATCACTTTTTACATCATATTCANTATTGAACGTAGACTTTAGTTATATATGATGTCATTGTGAAGTGGAGTGATGTGTCTATGTTTATATTTAATGCAAAGAAACGGCTAACCAATGGCCGGGCAAGGTGCAAACTAGGAGCTTAGCTTCAACGAAATTTTGGCTCAATATCTAGTGGCGTATATGTTCATGTGTTTAGAATAGTATTTAGATAAAGAATAACTGAAGCATGAAAGTTATCACATTCCATAAACTCATTTACGCTTTGATAATGTGCTTCGTTCTTTTATTAGTTACATTTTAAGTTATGTTTATTTAAAACTAATTTTAGTTTTTGGATGTTGATAAAAACCATCTTGGATTAAAAATCATTTAAAAATCAATTTTAAATATACATAAAATGAGGCAGACAAATTCCAATGATAATTAAAGAAAAATCTATCAAATGTATGTTTAAATCTCGAATATATATACTTGTATATCTTGATATGGCTTCCTATATTCCTCAACGTTAACACAATATATGTAATATTTATGTTCCGAGATACAGTAATTATTTTGTACTGTACGTATTAATTGTTTGATAATTGTATTATCTACAATATATTTCATATAAAAAATAAATATTTAAAAACGAAAATTATCTGTTTATTTGATTCATTAAAATATTTTCAAATTTTACGAAAATATTTACCATTTATAATTTAATTTATTTAATAAATTATAACAGTTATATTTAATTAAATGATATAATTAACAGTAGTAAAGCTAATTTTGACGTTACACTTTATTAACTATAAACTCGTATCTCGTAAAGTTTTGTAAAATCATAAATTCATATTTAATGCAAATAAACATTGAGAATATAAATCATTTTATATTATATTAAATATCATAGATAATTAATAAAATTTGATTTAATTCTCAAATACGATTAGGTTAAAAATGCTGAGTAAATATTGTTTAATATTAATATAAGTATTTATTGAATAAATCTCTCAATAACATTATTGAAAATTGAAACGATTTCCCTGTGATTTCTGTCTCTTACAATATAAACAAATTATTTTATTGTAAAAAAATCTAGAAGTAAATTTACAGTGATCGATATATTGGAATACAATACGTGAATTGCTATCCAAATATGTATTATTTACATTTAAATTTAACTTTAAGAAATTNATTCTGTTGTCTTTATGGAAGATAATTCTTAAAAGAACAACATGCGCTATTACAGGAATGCCAAAATAACTTTATTTTTAAAAATATCCATCTTAACTAAACAACATTTAAGAGAATAAACAGAAATTATCAATACACCGAAACGAATAAATCAATACGTTTATATTCTAAATGATGTGTAAACATATTTATCATCTTAACAAATTTTATTGGTTATTTCAGAGTTAATGTCATAACGGATCATCACTTTTTACATCATATTCATCCAAAAGAATTTTTAGATTCACCAGAATTTGAGTCGAGTAAATCAGGAGGAGATGATAAGTTCAAGGTTTTATATTTTAATATTTATATAAGAATTAGATGAGGTATATCAAGCTTTGTATTCTTACGATTACATTATTTTCAATTTTTTTCTGGCTTTGATCATTAATTTGTATGCTTAATTATTTTATTTTATTTTATTTTTTTAAAATATTTCGGAGATAACATGATGATGAATTAGCATTATGTTTTATATAATAAGTATAAATTTGAAATTTATGCAAATAATATTCTCTAATAGTGTGAAATTTTTATTGTATTATTTCAGGTGTCCATTATCGCTGCTACTTCTTGCCGATATATATTTTGGCAGAGGCAAAATCTTGAGTATTTACTTATCAAAGAAACGTATTTGGCTAGTGTACTTTCAGTTCTTTTAGCGCGTGATATAACAACAAAATTATATGCAATGAATAACAAGGTAAGCTGATTATTAATCCTGACAACAACTATTATGAAACCTTAGTATTATTTTTCAACGATAATTTTCATTCACTAGATAATAACAGAGAAAGGTTCTCATCTAGATATCCGTTTACCTAGTATTACCAGTTCCATCACGTCACACGCAACTCAGGACGGTCAGGATTCTCAGACACCTTTTAGGAGTATGAGAAGCAAAAGTTCACATTGTAATAGCTTAAGCCATAATAGTTATGGGCACATATCTGTCTATCCTTATCAGGGAATCTATAGAGAAAATGAAGGAATGGATTCCGGTAAGCGTTTTAAAATTATGTATTAATAATGCACCTATATAGAATGTAAGAAAAGATAACATAATAAATGAGTTATATGTATATATTTTGTTATAATTATTAAGTCTTTGGAAGCAAAGAACATCTTGTGCCAGTGCCAGTTATAAATGAGATGCCTAAAAAGAAATGTCCATCTGATGAGGAGTTAGAGGAATGAAAATCCTGCAAATCCTCAAGATATTTAATAATTCAAAACCTTCCTTATGTCAAGATGTCTGCCAATTATAAATAAATATATATATATACACACATACATATATATACGTTCCATATGAAAACAACGAGATTTTTCAACGAATTTCAATATTATTTTTAATATATATATAATATATTTACGTAATTTTATTTTATAAAATCGGATTATATTTAAAAAATACAAATTTTATTAATGTTAAATTAAAATTTAATATAATGTTTTTTCCATTAAGTAAATTTTAATAACTATATTTGTCCTTCTTTAAATATCACTTTCTTAAATGAAAAAAAAATTTTAATAATATAAACTTCAACAATAAATAAAATACGTTTCATTACTTCCATGTTGATATTCCTAAATATAAAATTAATAAAAGAAAATCCAATTTTCTAAATTCCATTATAAACTTAATTAATTTTGAAATAGGAAACTGAATTTTTAGATCTGCTTTTAATGCGCTTATTAATTAAAATTTATTTGAATAATTTATATTATTTATAAGCTTATAAAAATTCTGAAATGCCGACTTTCCATATAAAATTAAATTGAAAATTAAATCTGAAAAATAGATAAAATTATTAATGAAACTAAGCTGTCAACTATTTAAAAAAAATAAAGTATATATTCTTTATATAAAATTGTATTGAACGTAGACTTTAGTTATATATGATGTCATTGTGAAGTGGAGTGATGTGTCTATGTTTATATTTAATGCAAAGAAACGGCTAACCAATGGCCGGGCAAGGTGCAAACTAGGAGCTTAGCTTCAACGAAATTTTGGCTCAATATCTAGTGGCGTATATGTTCATGTGTTTAGAATAGTATTTAGATAAAGAATAACTGAAGCATGAAAGTTATCACATTCCATAAACTCATTTACGCTTTGATAATGAGCTTCGTTCTTTTATTAGTTACATTTTAAGTTATGTTTATTTAAAATTAATTTTAGTTTTTGGATGTTGATAAAAACCATCTTGGATTAAAAATCATTTAAAAATCAATTTTAAATATACATAAAATGAGGCAGACAAATTCCAATGATAATTAAAGAAAAATCTATCAAATGTATGTTTAAATCTCGAATATATACACTTGTATATCTTGATATGGCTTCCTATATTCCTCAACGTTAACACAATATATGTAATATTTATGTTCCGAGATACAGTAATTATTTTGTACTGTACGTATTAATTGTTTGATAATTGTATTATCTACAATATATTTCATATAAAAAATAAATATTTAAAAACGAAAATTATCTGTTTATTTGATTCATTAAAATATTTTCAAATTTTACGAAAATATTTACCATTTATAATTTAATTTATTTAATAAATTATAACAGTTATATTTAATTAAATGATATAATTAACAGTAGTAAAGCTAATTTTGACGTTACACTTTATTAACTATAAACTCGTATCTCGTAAAGTTTTGTAAAATCATAAATTCATATTTAATGCAAATAAACATTGAGAATATAAATCATTTTATATTATATTAAATATCATAGATAATTAATAAAATTTGATTTAATTCTCAAATACGATTAGGTTAAAAATGCTGAGTAAATATTGTTTAATATTAATATAAGTATTTATTGAATAAATCTCTCAATAACATTATTGAAAATTGAAACGATTTCCCTGTGATTTCTGTCTCTTACAATATAAACAAATTATTTTATTGTAAAAAAATCTAGAAGTAAATTTACAGTGATCGATATATTGGAATACAATACGTGAATTGCTATCCAAATATGTATTATTTACATTTAAATTTAACTGTAAGAAATTTAAATATTTATATTTTAAATGTATGTAATCAGAAGATTTGGAATTAAATAAATAAATGAATCATTTGAATTATAATATATAAATATACAATGATAGAAGTTTTCTATAACATATAATAAGGTAATATGATTTATTTAATGATTTAATTTTATAAAAAGTATTTATGGCTTAAATATGACAAGAAGATTTATATAAATAGAATTCTGAAAGGAATTATGTATAGAAATTTACTGTGAATGTGCATCAGACGGAAATTAATTGTTCATCTTTTTCAGTAGAAAAACAAAAACATTTTCAATCTAAGTTACATTTGACAGTAGTTAGTTTGATGCATAATATCGGAACACGAACACCATTACAGAATATCATTTTAGCATCTTTGATATATAAATAATACGCTTGATAAAACAAAACAATTGCACGGTTTCATATAAAAACCCATCAACGATTTGGCAGCTAGAAACTTATAGTCTAACCTATATTTATCGGCACGTGGAGTGTGAAAACAGCTCTGTTTCCTGGTCTCCAATATCGATTCCTTGGTTTAAATGTCACTGCAACCCGGGGGCTGTGAAAGGCTAAAGGAAGAACACATTGCTACCCCTCAGACAAAACTAATGGTTAGGCAACTGGGGAAACTCCCTCTCTCTCGTATCATTCAATGGCTAGATGAAGGGTGAGCAACACAGATCCCTTCAATGAGTCCCTCGCGATAAATGAGTAACAGAGGTTACGTAAAATGTAGATGACGCATAGTTTTATTATTTCTAACAAAGATAATGACGTCACTTGCTTTTATTACTTCTCCTGTACGAAAACTTAGATTTGGACGTAAAAACGAATTAATGACAACAAAAATTGTTGCCTTAAAATTAATTCTCTCAATATATTAATATATAAATTAATTTTTAACATTGAAAATTTTTCGCTGTTAGAATTATTAATTATAACAATAAATAACTTCCCATCATGATAATTTAAATTTAATTTGATTGATTTATTCAAATTTATATAAATTCATAATTTATAATAGAATTTTCTATTATATACACAAATTAGTGTATACTTAAAATTTTGAAATATTTACTTTTCAGTGTTATTATTTATTAATGAATTTGATAATAAAAAATAAAATAAAATAATTTTAAAAGTTTAAATTATATTTTCAGAATTTTATAAATCTTTTTAAGAGAAAACTTTACAGATATCAGTAAATCAAGTTTAGTTCTTCAAAGGAAAAAGTTTCTGTAGTCATGTCATCCTCCTGTAAATGTTATTTCACTGCAATATACAACACTACTAAAGAGAAGCTGCATGTTATATCTTTACGATATCAAGTAAAATCTCAACTCTCCAATTTAATAATTAAGGAAGTAATTTAAAAAATTTGTCAAAATGTTCTTTTTCTTATACTTATAAACCTTTATCAGTACTTATTATTTAATTAAGAAGAAAGAATGCATTTTTAAATTCGATAGAAAATTTAGATTTAATTACCGAATAAAGAATCATACAAATTAACGAAAACAAAATTGATTATAATTAATGTTACACATCAGTTAATTTATTGAAAAGAGATATTTTCTAGCACAAATTGTTATCCCAAATCTATAAACATGTCTTTTAATTTGAATTTTAAGTAAGTAGTAAATGATGTTAACACTTAAAATAACGATAATCAATTAAAAATTTAGACATAATTATAATGCAGAGCAAAAAAAAAATTATATTAAATATTTATACAACAGTTTAGTTATATCAAGTGTATATAAAACAAAAATTCTTATTTATTTTTAAAATAGTAAAAATTCAGTTTTACGTTCTATCAAATGGATAGCAACAACTTTATTTAATTTCCTAGAAATGTTTCTTGTTTTTATTCCTGAATCTGGGAAAACACTTTATTATTTTTTTCAAATTCTTTACTAAATTATCTAAATCTTTATTTTCCACTTATTTACAGCGAACACACACACAAAGAAAAAAAATAGTTACAGTCGAGTTCAAAGAATGCATTCTGCTAAATGTTAAACTTAAAATAGCTCAGCCTTATTGAGATAATAGAAACAGACTTTATTGATTTCTGCCACATCTCAATTTTCATAAAATTAGAAAAAGTTTTCCTTCTTTAATTTAAAATTGAACATTTGCAATTGTAATAAACATTTATAGAAATGAATAAATTTTTTCGGAAAAACAAAATAAATAATTTAGTGATCTTTTTATATAATAGACTAATGATAATTTATTTTCTGTGTGATGTGAAATATAATGTTTTTAACTGAAATAAAATCATTTTGTCCAATTTTTTTTTGTTGAATACAATCGTAGCACGTTAAAGGTGTTGCATATAACATCAGTTTTATGTTCCCTTTGGAACTGAAACCCATATTCTCTAATTTCACCACTTGTATAGCTATTATCAAGGGATTTGAATAATAAAACAACCTTAATATATACGCATCTAGAAAATTGAATTTCTGGTTATGATGCATAATACTGTATAAGCTTTTGTATTTGATGGATGTTTTGGTATTTACCATGATCAGGACCACTTCTATTATTACAATACAGAAATAGAACAATAAAAAAAGAAAATTAAATTCTTTCTAATAAAATTAACGACTTCTGTATTAGAATTTCTTGTTTCAATATTAAAATGGCTTTCAAAACATAACAGTAACAGTTAAATAGAAACAAACTTCATATAGTAAGAAGTAACTAAAGATAAGACATTTATTCAAGTAATTTCAATTTAAATTATTTCAATCTGCTAAAAATAGTATTTTTATGTCAAATCTGATACAGGTTTTCAACAGTAAGATTTATATAAATAGAATTCTGAAAGGAATTATGTATAGAAATTTACTGTGAATGTGCATCAGACGGAAATTAATTGTTCATCTTTTTCAGTAGAAAAACAAAAACATTTTCAATCTAAGTTACATTTGACAGTAGTTAGTTTGATGCATAATATCGGAACACGAACACCATTACAGAATATCATTTTAGCATCTTTGATATATAAATAATACGCTTGATAAAACAAAACAATTGCACGGTTTCATATAAAAACCCATCAACGATTTGGCAGCTAGAAACTTATAGTCTAACCTATATTTATCGGCACGTGGAGTGTGAAAACAGCTCTGTTTCCTGGTCTCCAATATCGATTCCTTGGTTTAAATGTCACTGCAACCCGGGGGCTGTGAAAGGCTAAAGGAAGAACACATTGCTACCCCTCAGACAAAACTAATGGTTAGGCAACTGGGGAAACTCCCTCTCTCTCGTATCATTCAATGGCTAGATGAAGGGTGAGCAACACAGATCCCTTCAATGAGTCCCTCGCGATAAATGAGTAACAGAGGTTACGTAAA